TATATATATATATATATATATATATATATATATATATATATATATACAATGAGGAAAATAAGTATTTGTAACACCCTGCGACTTTGCAAGTTTTCCCTCTTAGAAATCATGGAGGGGTCTGAATTTTTCATCTTAGGTGCATGTTCACTGTGAGAGACATAATCTAAACAAAGAAAAATCAGAAATCACTATGTATGATTTTTTAATAACTTATTTGTGTGTTACTGCTGCAAATAAGTATTTGAACACGTGAGAACATCAATGTTAATATTTGGTACAGTATCTTTGTTTGCAGTTACAGAGGTCAAATGTTTCCTGTAGATTTTCACCAGGTCTGCACACACTGTAGCAGAGATTTTGTTCCATTCCTCCACACAGATCTTCTGTAGATCAGCGTTTTTTATATACAGGTCCTTCTCAAAAAATTAGCTTATTGTGATAAAGGTCATTATTTTCCATAATGTAATGATAAAAATGAAACTTTCATATATTTCAGATTCATTGCACATCAACTGAAATATTTCAGGTCTTTAATTGTTTTAATACTGATGATTATGGCACACAGCTCATGAAAACCCAAAATGTCTGTCTCAAAAAATTAGCATATCATGAAAAGGTTCTCTAAACAAGCTATTAACCTAACCATCTGAATCAACGACGTAACTCTAAACACCTGCAAAAGATTCCTGAGGCTTTTAAAAACTCCCAGCCTTGTTCATTACTCAAAACCACAATCATGGGTAAGACTGCCGACCTGACTGCTGTCCAGAAGGCCATCATTGACACCCTCAAGCAAGAGGGTAAGACACAGAAAGAAGTTGCTGAACAAATAGGCTGTTCCCAGAGTGCTGTATCAAGGCACCTCAGTGGGAAGTCTGTGGGAAGGGAAAAGTGTGGCAGAAAACGCTGCACAACGAGAAGAGGTGACCGGACCCTGAGGAGGATTGTGGAGAAGGGCCGATTCCAGACCTTGGGGGACCTGCGGAAGCAGTGGACTGAGTCTGGAGTAGAAACATCCAGAGCCACCGTGCACAGGCGTGTGCAGGAAATGGGCTACAGGTGCCGCATTCCCCAGGTCAAGCCACTTTTGAACCAGAAACAGCGGCAGAAGCATCTCACCTGGGACTGCTGCTGAGTGGTCCAAAGTTATGTTCTCTGATTACAGTAAATTTTGCATTTCCTTTGGAAATCAAGGTCCCAGAGTCTGGAGGAAGAGAGGAGACACAGAGTTCACATTGCTTGAGGTCCAGTGTCAAGTTTCCACAGTCACTGGTGTGCAATGTCAGCTGCTGATGTTGGTCCATTGTGTTTTATCAAGCGCAGGGTCAATGCAGCTATCAGGAGATTTTGGAGCACTTCATGCTTCCATCTGCTGAAAAGCTTTATGGAGATGAAGATTTCATTTTTCAGCACAACCTGGCACCTGCTCACAGTGCCAAAACCACTGGTAAATGGTTTACTGACCATGGTATCACTGTGCTCAATTGGCCTGCCAACTCTCCTGACCTGAACCCCATAGAGAACCTGTGGGATATTGTGAAGAGAAAGTTGAGAGACGCAAGACCCAACACTCTGGATGAGCTTAAGGCCGCTATCGAAGCATCCTGGGCCTCCATAACACCTCAGCAGTGCCACAGGCTGATTGCCTTCATGCCACGCCGCATTGAAGCAGTCATTCATGCAAAAGGATTCCCGACCAAGTATTGAGTGCATAACTGAACATGATTGTTTGAAGGTTGGTGTTTTTTGTATTAAAAACACTTGTCTTTCATTGGTGGGATGAAATATGCTAATTTTTTGGGACAGGCATTTTGGGTTTTCATGAGCTGTATGCCATAATCATCAGTATTAAAACAATTAAAGACCTGAAATATTTCAGTTGGTGTGCAATGAATCTGAAATATATGAAAGTTTCATTTTTATCATTACATTATTGAAAATAATGACCTTTATCACAATATGCTAATTTTTTGAGAAGGACCTGTATATATATTTATATATATATATATATATATATATATATATATATATATATATATATACAATTTGTTGGACGTAAATGAGGGTGTGACGGAGGCCATCACTCTGTGGTTTTATGTCTCTCATCAATGTTTGTCTTCCACAGATTATGCTACTTGAGACCTCGCGGAGGTACAATCCCACCATCGACAGCATTACATTTCTGAAGGATTTTAGCTATAATAAGGAGGACTTTGCCAAAGCAGGTGCCCTTAACCTTTAATCTTGTCTAGTCTTTCTGAATCCTTCCTCTTTACATATAACATTACATGTTCCTTATGGGACTTGTACAATGGTATATTTGTGTTTATATGAGAAGAAAACATTAATTTATTCTTTTTAGGTTGGTATTTTTTTAATAGTGACGTGCTTTATGCTAAATAATGAAACCCTAGCTATAAACTTTGTATCTTATTTCTTTCTTTAAAGAGACCCTCATCCAGGGTCATTTTTCACTGTTTATCTTTCTCTCTTGTTTTTCCCCTCAGGCCTTCAGTTCGAGTTCATTAACCCCATCTTTGAGTTTTCAAAAGGAATGAATGACCTGCACCTTGATGAGGCCGAGTACGCTCTGCTCATTGCTATCAACATCTTTTCTGCAGGTCAGAGTTTATTAACTTCAATGCCCTACGTTTATCATCAGTACACGACTCAGTAAACTAATGCTTCGGCTTTCTATTTCTGAAGAATAAAAGAGTTTGCAATAGAGAAAACGTGCATAACATCGTAAACGAAGTCATTCAGCTGTGAGAGAGTCTCGGTGTAAACTTTGTTTTTGTTTTGTGTAGATCGGCCAAATGTGCAAGACCACGATCTGGTTGAGAGGCTGCAACAACCGTATGTGGATGCTCTGCGCGCTTACATCATGATAAAGAGACCAAATGTAGGTACCCAGAGCTTTAAATAACATTTCCTGTGGTATATCCGCACCACCTGGTTGTCATCATCACAACACTGAGTCACGGTGGAGGTTGTATTACTTTGTTCAGACCAGAAGAGAGCCAGAGTTGATGCACAGTTGTGGTTTTTAATGTCCAGTGAAACATTTATTTTCTCTACCTCTTTAGAAACCTTAAACCAAAATATAACAAGCGTAACTTGTTAAGTTGCATTATAAATTATAGACTTAGTCCTGAAGTTCATCAATATGTTTATTTTTCTTACGCTGGTCATGAGGTTTACAACCCCAGTGCCAAAAAGTTAAATGGGACGTTGTGTAAAATGTAAATAAAAACAAAATGCTGTCACTTGCAAATCCCATAAGCTCATATTTTATTCATAGTAAACACATTAAGTGTTTAAACTAAGAAATAGTTTGTTTTTCTTTTAAGAAAAATCAGGTAATTTTGGACTTGATGTCAGCAACACAACAAAAGGTTGTAACAATAAGTGGTACAAATAAGAACCAGCTGGAGGAGCATTTTGTGCCTAATTAGGTTCATTGCTAACGGGCCAGTAGGAGGAGACTTTGATGATGTGGGGGTGCATCAGTGAAGAATGGGACAACTTTCTCTCCAAAGACTCCAGCAGCTGCTCTCATCAGTGCCTGGATGTTTACAGCCTGTTGTTAAAAGAATAGATGCTTCACAGGGGAAACATGGCTGCCCCAACTGTTGAGATGTGCTGCAGCCATAACCATCAAAAATACCTTCTTTTTATTTTGCTACAAAAATAGTCAAAACAATGTTGAGTTTATTTATAGTCCACTGTGAATATAACATGGATTTATGAGATCAAATCACTGCGTTTTATTTTTATACACTTTTTACACAACGTCCAAACAATTTCAGAATGAAGTTTGTAAATATATATATTTTTTAGAGATTAAATTAAACTGAATTTTTGTGCTACAATAAATGTTTGTAGTTTTATAAGTTAGTTTGATCACATTTTTAAACATGCTGATTTCTTTCTAAATGGTATTTATATACACATCAAGTACAATCATTAAAATCTTGGAGCAACTTATCTGCTTGCAATAATTCCATAAATGCTGTGTCTGAATAATGATTTAATAATAATTGTGATGATTTTGATAGTAAATACAGTTAGACAGATACTCCACATAGGTAGAATGGTGCAGGTGTAATCGTTATCTTTTGTTTACTCAATAAATCATTAAGTACTTGTTACAATCTGCAGTGCAGACACACAATGCACTCATCATAACTTTTTTTTTTATATTTCTAAAGTTTCAAAGCTAGTTGTAAATTAAACAAAACATACCATTTAAAAAAACCTTGTATGGTATATGTCTGAAATTAGCAGCTCGGCTGAGTTTCTCTTGTTTTATGGACTTTGTTTGTGCTGCACAGACAGAAAAACAATCAAAAGATTTTTACAAAGTTACTACAGGGCAGCACAAATAAATCCATTAGTGAAAATATGTGATCCATCTCGTATATCAAAATGGAAAGACATTGAATGTATAAGGAACAATATCCCCCTACAAGCAGCGATCGGTAACATAGATTTAATAAAAGACTTGGAGGAAGTCATTCCACGTACAGAAACAGCACTTATGACCTGGTCAAAACTAGTAAAAGAAAATAAAGAACGCTGTCTGCTGATTAGATGGATAGCATATGACCAAGATTTCACTCCAAATAAAACCGACAACACTTTTAAGAAATGAATCGAAAAGGGCCTGGTCAAATATAGTGATCTTTATCATGAAGGCTGCATGAGGAACTTTCAAGATGTAAAACAGAAGTATGGTCTTGATAATAGAGACTTTTTCACTTCCTACAAATCAGACACTATTTAGATAAAATAAAGAAAGATGACAAGGACAGGCCTTCTTGAATGTCTTTCTTAAATCATACCAGTCAAAACCTAATAACAAATTAACATCACAAATTATATTATGAATTACAAAACCTGGAGGGAGCAGATATTATATCAAGGATAAATGGGAGAAGGAAGGTAACAAGATTCAAATTGATGATTGGTCAAACATTGTAAATATCTGTTGGAAATGTACGTCTTCTTTGACATGGAGGGAATTTGCTGGGAAGAGTGTTACACGTTTCTTTAAAACACCAGCCCAGAGGGCACGAATGCAGACAATTCATGCTGGAGGTCATGTGGGTCAAAACAGGCCGATCGCTACCATATCTTCTGGAGCTGTCCTAAATTAAGCAAAGTATTGATAATGTTATTGGGACCAATATCCCCTTAAATTTAGAAAATATGTTTCTGGGCAAACGACCAGGCAATATAAAAGGATTTTACAATAAATATATGCTGAACATTATGTTAACTGCCAGGAAAAAAAGCAATCGCTTAGAAATGGATGACTGACAAGACAGCCACAATAGAAGACTGGATGAATGTGATCCAAGATATTCTTCACATGGAGGAACTTACATTTGCAGTGAGACTGGAAAAGGACAAATCTGATGATTGTTGGAAACCATGGAAGACTTTCTTGAACACCAGATCTGAACACGAGTGACAATTAAGTGACACTCGCTGTTCGTTAGCTACTCAGCATTGTTGTTATATATTGTTAAATTTAACTTGTGTTACTTATGTTTGCTTTTAAAAAAAGGAATATTAGACAAAAGATGTTGAATACGGTAACTACACAATATATGTATATATATGACTTTTACTTGGCTCTTTTCAGAAATTAAAAAGAAGCTATGGTCTATTGTCTCAGGGCACTGTACAGAAACATTCATACTTTATAAAAGCCAGTTAGTAAAAGTTATATGTCTAATGAAGCCAGCAGATTGTGTTGAATCTTCACTTCGTCACAGTCTCTCATCCTGAGCGAGCACAATGGAGACAGTGGAAAGGAAAAACTCCCTTTGAACAGGAACAAACCTCCAGCAGAACCAGGCTCGACGACAGAAATTGTTGTCAAATTTTAAAAACCATACTAATGACCCGTTGACTATTTAATAATCATAACTGTTTCATCCCTAACATGTTCATCAGTGCAGGTTCTGAGTCATCACAGAGTAAAATACTTGTTGTTTCTGTGGTTTCCCCAGGATCATCTGATGTTTCCTCGTATGCTGATGAAACTGGTGAGCCTTCGCACATTGAGTAGTGTCCACTCGGAGCAGGTTTTTGCCCTTCGTCTCCAGGACAAGAAGCTTCCGCCGCTGCTGTCTGAAATCTGGGACGTCAACGAGTGACTGCAATCCTGATGTCGTACTCTGTGGCTTCATGAACCTTGAAAGAGACGCAGCTACTCGCAGGATCACTGACCTTCTGATCCGGTCAGGGCTCGGTTCCTGCCTTGAGCTTTTGTTTTTCCCTTTAGGAGCAGAGAGCGTCACTGCTCCTTTGCTCTCGAACAGACTGTTGAAGGGTTTTGTGATCATTAGATGAAACATGAACACAATACTTCCTTTAAACTGTTTCTTCAAGTCTAGATGCTCACGATTGTGGTTCACTTCCAGCTTTGGGCTTCTCAGCCAGTTGTCTTTGATTTTATATTAGTTATGAGGTATGCCAGTTTTCAGTGTGGTTCCTTACTCTACTAATACAAAGCAGAAGGCACTCAGCAAATCTGGCTGGTAATAATATAAAACCAGAATAACTCATCTTTTTGTAAAATGATTTCTGCAGGTGTGCAAAGGATTGACATTTATTCTCTTCTGGGCATAGGCAGGTAGCATACCTGCCATTAACTTGTTCATTATCAGTGTTTCCCCTAGGTCAGGGGTCTGCAACCTACGGCTCTGGAGCCGCACGTGGCTCTTTCAAGCTTCGACCATAACCAGCATAAAACTGAATTTTATTGGTTGTTATGACGACTAAAAAAGCTAGTTTTAGCAGTTTACAGGAAACTGTAAACGGTCAAAATAAGCAAATATGTGAATATTAGAAACATTACAAGGAGTAAAATATATTCACGTTCACTTTACGCTTTATTTCTTCAATGTAAGATAATTTTTCTACAATTAAAAAAAATCACTTAGGCCTGCATAGTTTGCTTTAGTTTTTAGAAATTGAGCAAAAACTACATTATTTTTTCCTTCTTTACAAGAATCTCATCTTTTATTTTGTCTTAAAATGTAAAACCACAGAGTGCACAACTTCTAAACCAACTCCTAGGCCCACAGTTAAAGCAACACCACGGGGTGTTAAGTATCAGAAGAAAGTATAGAAGCTTTACTTACTAAAATAGAAGCAAATACACACATTTAATAACTATCGTAAATCCTACGGTGTCCATAAATGTTAAAAAATCATTAGATATTTATTAGTTTTTAATAATGCCACCAGAAAAGCGTCCTCCAACAAACTTAAAGTGGTCCGTGGGCCACCAGTTGAGAATCCCAGTTGTAGCAGGTGTGCCATCTCAGGACACGTTTAATGTAGTGAACAACTGGACAGAAATGGCTGTTTTGATCGTACAGGGTGCAGACCCCTGGTCTTGGCCTTGGCTGGGTGCTTGTGTCTTCGTGGATTTTTGTCGACACAGTGGTTGGGTGGTTGGAGAGATGGACAGTGTTGTGCCCCTGTACGTTGGGGCCGGCAGTTTTCGACAGGGGCATGAAAGAAACGGAGCGCTACCGCTGTAGCTTTTTAGCTAGCGCGCCTATTGCGCACTGCTAGCTTAGTGCTATGTTTGTGCCGGCAGTTGTTGAGGAGTTGTGGGTGAAGGACAGTTTTGGTAGGCGGGGTGCTCAGTTCTGTTGACAGGGCGGGTGCCCTCCTTGGATAACGGTAGGAGAAACACTGATCATGAATGTGATATCTGTCTATAAACGATTCTCATATGGCAACAGGTAGTTTGCATTCCCTTTAGCTCAAGTACGGACATCTGAGGGGGTGTAGCTGCTCAGGTAATGTGAAGTAAACCTTTGGGAAGTGGGGGCTTCTTTATTTCTGCTTTATTTCTGTTTCTTTCCTTTAAGTGCAAAAGGGACCTGTTTGGTCATCATGAAATGCCCATTAATATTTGTGCAAATTTATATTTATTTTCACCTGAAAATGTACACATTTTTTAAAGCTTGTACAACCAAATACTGATGCACAAAATCGTGGAATTCTGCAACTGATTGGTTGTATGTGCCGTCACTGATGTCCCTTTGTGCACCGGTACCTCCAAAAAGTGGTACTAAAGTGTTTCCAGATGTCATGGAAAGATTAGGAAATGACTTTGAATTAAAATAAATAGACCTTGAGCCTCTTTTCAAATCAATTCAACTGTTTCACTCATAAGAAATAAAACGTGCAATGTACTTCTACTATTTCATTGCTAAGCAGTACTTCTCTTGTTTTTAAATTTCTAATTGTTTTTAGCTCCAAAAATGTGCAAAGTACACTGAGTTTGAACAGATTAGGGATTTTTGTTTCAATTTTCTTTTGATAATATTCTGATATTTAAACAAAATATTTAGCTAGGGAAATGACTTGATGTAAAGATTTGTAATCTGGTCAGATTATGAACCACTTCTGTTGAAAGTAGCTTCAACAAGCAGAATGCAAGTCGTCCTGAACTTGATGACCACAAAGATGCAGATTCTTTCAGACGGCTGTTTTCCATGCAGTGTGAAACGCCAGTGCTCCGTAATGATGATCGAGCAGTTTGAGTGTAAATTTCTAATTGTTGACTATCTTTGCTGCTCTTTTGTTGTATTGAACTGGTTTCAATGGAAAGTGACGGGTTGTAAATGTATCTGCTGTCTGTCGACAAACTGACCTGTACGACCAGAGACGTGTTGGCATGAATTCAACGGTTAAAATGAGACACTTTATTTGCTTTTTGCCTGTAATTGTTTTAAGAGTTTCTTTTTAATATAAATATATTTTAATGGTTTGTCACAGCTAAAATTGATGCAAAGATAAAAGTACAAATACACACAACTGAAACTCCAGAGAACGTTGTCTTAACTGTTTGATTTAAACAAAACTTGATGGATCTTGTTTTAAATGTGATCGTCAAGCTCGACTTCAATTCAACCCAGACGTAGAATTTAATTTTTTTTAACACATCTAACATGTTTGAATTGTGATGGTGCTTGTTTATAATAAATGCATATTTTCACAGCGCATATTTTGACTTCTCAAAGCAAAAACCGATTTATTTTTAGGAATGGCTTCATTAACATACGACATCTAAAATGTCGAACAGAAACATATCAAGATGAACAGAACGGCTTGTAAACTTTACAACTCCATATTCTGTTTTTGTTCAGCTCATCTGTAATCGAAAACATTGATTAGATGTCGTTATTAAGCTTTACTCCATTTTAATCATGTCTTAAGTTTGTATCTGAGCAGAAACTGCCTGAGCTCCATTTATTTATGGCTGTATAAATACAAGATGCTTTCCTCCCACTGCTTCATGAATCAATAGAAAAGCTGCATCACAATCAAACCGTTCCTATAGATTATTGTTTTCTCAACAGGAAGAGATGAGATTAACATTAATTTCCCATCTTCATTGCTGCTAATTTAAAAATAAATCAGTAAATTGGAATATGCAAAAACATCCAAACCATGTTTTCATTCGTCAGGAGCGCATGAAACCTTTTTTGGGTGCGTTTTCCTAATAGGATTCATGCCATTTGCCTCTTAATGTTTGTTTTTCATCCTCATCACTCTCGAATGTCATTTTGTTGAAAGAATCTGAATATTGTGGGAGCGCACACAGGTTTTGTTTTCCTTTTGCACTGGAAAGCTGACGTTCTGAACTTTTAGTTTGATGTTTGCAGATTGTTGCTATCTGATGGTGTAGGGTCTAAATCTTCAAAAATGTAGTAAATCTAAAATAACAACAACTGAACTTCTGTATTTGAAGACGTTTGGACTGTCCGATGGGAGGGGAGTGAGTTTAATCTGCACGTGAAGTTGGCTGCACGATGACTCATCTAATGCAGTTGAAAAGCTTGGAGCTGCACATTCTCCTGGTTTGATCTGAGAAAACTCCCCAAATGGGAACTAAAACATCTTCGGCTACAGAATAGAAGTGTTGTTTTCTGTTTTAGGTTTTTATTTAAACTAACCGGTTGAGAGTATTTTCCCACCTCATTCCAACTGGATCTAGTCTATTGTCATGGAAAAATAAAATTATCATTTCCCAAAGTACTGTAGGCTAATCAGCTAAAGGAAAAAAAATAATCATTTTTTTTTATATATATTTTTGTGTAAATGGTAGCTGTAGTTATGAAGGTGAATTGTACTGTATATACTGTAATTGTAATTTCTGATCTCGTTTAATTCCTGTCTTCAGAGGGTGACACTGTAAACATTACTGATATATAGAAATGCTAACCTATTTTAATACTTGTAACTCTGAAAGACCATCTGTTTTGTATGTACAGTATAAATTAAAGCCCTGCTGTAGTTCTGATGTGTTTGGTATCATAATAACTATCAGCCAGACAACATATATATTTACATATATTCACTGTCGGTCTCTACAGGTGCTGGTCATAAAATTTGAATATTGTGGAAAATGTTGATTTATTTCAGTAATTCTATTCAAAATAGTGAAACTTGTATATTGTATTTATTACACACAGACTGATATATTTCAAATGTTTATTTGTTTTAATAATGGTTATAACTGACAACTAATGAAATCCCCAACTTCAGTATCTCAGAAAATTAGAATATTGTGAAAAGGTTCAATATTGAAGTCACCTGGTGTCACACTCTAATCAGCTAATTAACTCAAAACACCTGCAAAGCCTTTAAATGGTCTCAGTCTAGTTCTGTAAGATACACAATCATGGGGAAGACTGCTGACTTGACAGTTGTCCAAAAGATGACCACTGACACCTTGCACAAGGAGGGCAAGACACAAAAGGTCATTTCTAAAGAGGCTGGCTGTTCACAGAGCTCTGTGTCCAAACACATTAATAGAGGGGCGAAGGGAAGGAAACGATGTGGTAGGAAAAAGTGTACAAGCAATAGAGACAACTGCACCCTGGAGAGGATGGTGAATCAAAACCCATTCCAAAATGTGGGGGAGATTCACAAAGAGTGGACTAAAGCTGGAGTCAGCGCTTCAAGAACCACCACGCACAGACGTATGCAAGACATGGGTTTCAGCTGTCACATTCCTTGTGTCAAGCCACTCTTGAACAAGAGACGGTGTCAGAAGCATCTCGCCTGGGACTGCTGCAGAGTGGTTCAAAGTTATGTTCTCTGGTGAAAGTAAATTTTACATTTCTTTTGGAAATCACCGAGTCTGGAGGAAGAGAGGAGAGGCACAGAATCCACGTGGCTTCAAAAGTATAAAGTATAAAAAAAGAAATGGTGTACAAGGCTCTAAGATAGGCTATATGTAAACAGTAATAATATAATATAGTATAGTGTATTAAACAGCAGCCTGAACATGAGTCTGTTGTGAGCAGATGGGAATGAATACAGCGTGGGTAAGAAATCAGCAGCACAGATAAAGTGTCAAATCTCAAATTAAAGTGTAATTACAGTGATTTTTCTGGTTAGGAACTTGTGAGATAACAACTTCAGGCTCCATGAAGTCCATGACTGCACCTTGAGATCCTGTCCATGAACTCCACAAACGAGAGGCAAAAACACAAACACCAATACTTCATCAGAGGTAGCAAAATGCTAGCCAAAAGCAATAAATAAAAAATGTAAAAAATAAATGCAAGCTTAGAACAAGAGGAAACAATAATAGTAAAATGCAGAAAAATGCTAACCAAGAGACAGATGTAGCAAAACTAGCAAAAGCAGGAACACACTGGTTAGGAGCCAATAGTAGTAAAATGCTAAGAAAATGCAGGAGGTAAGAACTGTGCCAGAAGAAGCAACATGCTTGCTAAAAGCTAGAATTAGAGGGAGAAGCGGGTAACGTATGGATGTATGATGGATAGCAGGAAGAAAGAAAAAGTTAGAACCTAAGGTAGTGAAAAGTTCGTAGAACGTTAAAACAACACTGTATGAATGCTAAAAGTAGCAAAACATGAGAAAAAAAACAGAGCAAAATATGTATTAGAATTAGCAACAGCAGAGCTAGCATTTGTAAATGTATAAGTGTAGAGTTAGATTTAACATCCAGGGCAGAATACACATTAAAAGCAGTGCAGAATTAGCAAAAAACCAAGGGAGGAATTAGCCTCAGGGCAGTAGCACTTGCAGATATAAATTAGCGTTAGCAGGGCAGAGTTAGCATTAGCATTATTAGTATTATAAGCATAAAAATGCTGAAATAGCAAGCAAGTAGGTTTTAAAAGAGGTCAACGGGCTCCATTCATTGTCAGTGAGACCAAAAGTGGCTGGAAAAATAAAATATTTAT